CTAATGCTCATTTTCTTGTATTCTTCTCTGCTTATTAGTAGAATAGGTAAAATTTATCTACCTCTCAGGTAAGAACCTTGTCACCAGGGATCATGGAAAGCAATGTGGCACGATACCTACTGTTGCTGTGTGAGTCACTAGAACTGCTCGCTAGGGATCGTGATTGCTGGTTGGTGAATACACTGGTGCTAGTACGTGGATAACAGACTTCCTTTCAGACCTTGTCTTTGTTGTGAAATTTCTGTATCTATTTGTCCTGCTTCCTCTTTTTTACTCTTAATTATTGCTTGCTCTCTCTGCAGGGTCAAATGATGCTCTTCCGCCAAGGTTTTTATCAAATGTGCTTGGTTTAAGGGATGATAATCCTCCAGACAGTACGACTGTTGAGCATAAAGGAGGAATCTACACTAAGAGGGCCAATCCCAAGCTAGCCTGGGCTGAGGAGCAAATAAAACCACTGGAACCGTCCCCAGGTAGTTGAAGTGTGTGTTTAATTTTACATGTGTTTTCATACACATAAAAGAAAGTCGAGCAAAAGAATTATGTTTCAGGATCCATGATTTCTGGTCTCATGGTATTGCTGATAGTCTGCCTGAAGATGCTGAATTTGACTCATTTTTCTCTTCTTCATCTTTCTGCTTCTCCCTGACTGCCCAAATACCTGGACATGAGTTTTTGCTAGCATTCCAGTGGTCCCAGTGCTTATCAGAGTCTTTGTAGGATTTTTTGTGTTTGGTGGGGCTTGGGGGTTTTTTTATGTTTTTTTTTTTTTTTAAGGCACTCTTAAGTTTGTGAAGTGCAAAGTCTTCTTTATGTGTAGAAAATGACAGAAATTCCTTCGTAAATAAAAGCAAGTGGGATGGCTCTGTATATTGTGTTGGGGTTGTGTTCCTGCCCACAAATACACTGGTGTCTTGCGGTGTCATGTAAAGTATGTCTGCGATGTTGGTATTTAACTGAATTTTCATTTGATTTGACTGATCTCTCTTCTTCCCCTCCATTAACCTTGTTGGATGAGGGATGAAGGTCAGGTTTTACTACTACAGTAGCCTACTTTAAGGCTTGATTTGTTGAGAATGCTGAAAAAATTAAGTTATGCTGTGCTAATGGATGATTTTGACACTGTATCTTGTGACAGTAGCTAAAATTAGTCCTGATGGACACTCCTTTTGTACAAAACCTCATCCTGTGATTTTTTGAGTGGCTGATAAGCTTTTTCGAGTATGAGTAGTGATGAGGATTTTTGTTGTGTTTGAGCATTGCATCTTGTTCCTGGACAGAAGTAACTGCAAACAGAAAATTGCTGAGTGGTTGCCATCTCTCCTAAATGCAGATATTAATTCCTCAGGGAAGCTGTTTATTGCACAGTGCAGTATTTTGCAGCATGTGCTATATTAAACAAAGACTGAGCAAATTGCAAGGAGGTAATATAATTATGGCTGTTAATGAGAGATGGGACCCAAAACATATGAACAGCATAATGGATTCTGAATTAGAGAGATCCTGCTGCCTTCTAGGCAGTCACATATATAGGGTTTTTGGGAGCCCATTTATTTTTCTTAGTATCATGTAAACTTGTTATATGAAAACATTTAATGAAACAGATTTTTATGGAGCACCTCAGTGTGATTATTGTCGTCCTGTTTAAGCAGGCAGCTCAGTGTGCTTGGGTTGAGGTCACCCCACAGAGCTGGGCTGTTGTATTGATGGGCATTCCTTCTGATGATTTTAATTGAAGATAATTTTTATTTCTAGAAGATAATTTAAAATGATTGCATAAGACACACTGAACTTCATTATTTTATGTTCATTTTACTTTTTTGGTAAGTGTACATAGGACCAATAGTTGAATTAGTGCAACAATAAAGAGAATGTTGTCTTCATCTAGTTTTTCTAATGGAAGAAGTAATTCTCTGTGAGCATTTACAAAATGGAAGGATACAGAAAAAAGTGGAGTAAGGTAGAAAAATGCTTTTCTTCATTTGCTGCGGGTAACTCAGAAGAAGAATGCTGGGTCATGGCGGTAGAGCTGAAGAAAGAGTGCGTGTACAGAAGTGAGCTCTCTGAACAAGAATCTGCATTAACAAACAAAATATCATGTTGGAGCAGAGATTGATGGATACCTGTCTTTGAAGAGCCTGGATAAAACTGAAAGGGGAATACAAGTGTTAATATAAAATTTTCTAATAGTTTTTTTTCTGTAGCTGTGATGATCTAAAGACACAGGCAAGAAAATAACCGTAAGCAGAAATAATCTTTTGTTAAACCAGCCAGTACAGTTGGAAACTTAAGCAAGCTTTCTGAAGACTTCCATGTCTAAAATCTTCTCTGACTTCTTCAACTATATTTTTAGATGGTCTAATAAAAGATTACCTCTACCCACAGAGCTTGTCTAGAGCTTAACATTATGCAAGTTATGTATTTTTTTAAAAAGGTTTCTCTATATAAACTTATTTTTATTTTTTGCCTGTTTGCATTCCTTCCATTTTGTTTGTAACTTTTTAAAAATACAGAAATAGCAAAAATTCTGCATAGTATTCCCAAGCCTGGTCTTATTTGTCAGGGGGATGTGGAGGAATCCTCTTACATGAGTATATAAACATTGACCTTGTATGGGAAGACAAATTCCTCCAATTTCAGAGTTAGTGGACTGGGTCTGGGTATGCTGTTCATGATCTTGGCATTACACTGAAGTGTCTCTGGTTGGGAAGGGAAGAGATGCCTAAAATGTAAGGAAAAACAAGTGACTAAGTAAAAGTAAGGTTTAGGAGGCAGTGTTAACAGTATGAATTCATGCAATTGTAACCCTTCCTGAGCTTATCTTCCACCACTTTTTCCCTTTTGGGATTGAGGTTTTATAAAAACATAGCTTGTGATTCTTGATGAGGCAGGTAGGTGTTTTCCTCCTGGGGTATGGAGAAGCTTGGTTGTGGGACTTGCCACCCTTTTGCGGGATTGGTGGCAAAGCTTGCTCAGATGAAGAAAGGAAGACCTCGTTTCCAGTTCTGTTTTCATCAATAGATCAGAATCATGAAAATTCAGACTTTAAAACAAAACAACAAAAATGCAACCATAAAACAAACTTGGGAGGAATGTTGAGAGCTAGAGAAAAACGTGTGTGTGATTCCTGCTGTTAATGGAGCTTGATATGCATTTGCTGACAGCTTCCAATTACCTATTCACTGGTGTTACCGTTAGTAAATGGACTGTTCTTTTTTTGTATGGACTTTTTTATTTATACTTAAGCTATTACTATTCTATAAGGCATCTTTAAATGACATACTTGGCTAAAATGGCATGGAATATCTTGCAGCAAGCATAGCAACTTGCAAAATCCTTCTGGCACTAGCATCTATAATTCCTACTTTCTGCCTTCATGGATCATTATATAATTGAGTCCATTATACAAAGAACATAACGTGAAACACATTTTTACTTCAAAAAATTTGATTTTTTATTTTTTGTTACAGTATATTACAAATGGCTTTAAAATTATTTTGGAGTGTATTCCTGTTAGCACATGCTGCATGCATACTTAAAGTATTTCTCTTACAAATGAGTTTATAATTGGATTTCTGCGTATAGTCCTTTGTAATTTCAGACAGTAGCATCTTCTGTGGGGGATTTCACTGCTGCTTTGAACTGAAATGTGTCATCTGAACTTAAAAGCATGGCAGGGCTAAGTGTTGGTATGCTATCAGAGATGGTTCTAGGAGCTGTACAGGAAGTGGTATTGGTTGTCTTATATATAGTGCTGTTCTGAGTTAGTTACGAGAGAATGTCAGGCATTGCCTTAGGGGATGTTTGTACTCCCTGGGCATTTGTCTGAAAATGAGTTGTGGCTGCCATGAATTTCCTTAAAAATAAGTAAAGACTCAGTACAAATTTTGGTCTGGGTAATCGCCTGTGATGTATCTAGATTCCTCCTTCAGATTCAGTTGGATATAATATTCTCTTGGATTCCGTGTTGCAAATGGTAAAAAATGTTATTTATGTACTTTTAATAATGCTGAAACTTCATTTCTAAGTTTGTTGCATTTCAGGATGGTACAGTGATTCCTGCTTTTAATCCTTAGATGTGATTGAAAGCTTTAGGATGAAAATAATCCTGTGTAAGATTTCCTGTTTGCTACTTGCTTCCTGTAAAGAAACAAAAATTTAAAGTGTTTTGTTCTCTTCTAGGACACACAGATCATTCAAAGTCTGGAAAAAACACTAATTCGATCTTCAAATCTGCACAGTTCTGCTTTCATCATCCAATGCCCATGTGTGAGAGCTACTTTCTGTCTAACAGTGAGCTGTCAGAAGACAGTTCTGGTATTGGACATGCTAGACCATCCTCAAGTGCTGTCTTGCAGAATTGGAAAAAAGCACGTCATCATCAACGTGTTTTTTCTGTTCATCATAAAAAAGGTGAAAGTGAATTCTTTCCACTCACTGCAGAAGCAGATTACAGCAAGAATGAGGATCTAAATGTTAGCACATCTTCAGGGAATGAAATGTCAGAGAAGAAGCTGCTGCAATGTGGCAAAAGAGAAGTAGAACAAAAGGCAGCTAGAAATTATCCTTTGCCATGTAGCCAAACAACTCGCCTCAGTGAGACTGTGGAGAAAGGCCTACCACTGAGACACAGAACCCACTCCAGTGGTAGCTTAGATGAACTCTGGATGAAGTTTTTGGAGTGCCAGAAGAGACACCAGCACCATGATTTTAGGAGTAACGGTGAGCTGTCCCTTGTTGAACGCCTGGATCGATTGGCCAGGGTCCTTCAGAATCCCATTAAGCATACACTAATACCAACAAAATCTGAAAAGAATGCTTCTGAAAAGAAAATTAAGGGAAGAGAGCAGAAGAAAATAAGACTGCCAGAAAAGAGCATGTCTGAAAGTACCTTAGAGCCTAATGCAGCACATATTGAAGAAGGACCATGTATCACCCATGATAAAAATAGCCTTGTTGAACTCAGGAAAAATAGGTCAGGAGAAAAAATTATCTGCCACATGAATAACATTTTGGAGCACCAGCAGTACCTGGAAACTCCTAGCGACACTTCCTCAGAGACAAGGCTTAGCAGAGATCATGGCACCACGATCAGTTCCACCACTTCAGAATCAGATGCAGTGACCCAAACAGAGATGGAAACTGCTACTCAGACTGAGGTGAGCAGTTCCGTTTCCACCATTGATACTGCCAGGCTGATCAGGGCTTTTGGGCATGAAAGAGTGCGGGTGTCACCAAGACTCTCCCAGCTTTATTATACCATCAGCTACCAGAAAAGTCGCTCTGAAAAGCGGGACAAGGGAAGTGGCAAAGCAGTGGGTGTAAAATATCCAAAGGTTACTTCTGAGACACACAGGAGAAGGAAAGACATCCAGGTATGTGGTCAGTTAGACCAAAAGACAATTTTAACTAATTTTTACAGGAGCTCTTAAACTGCTGTACAGTAGTAGAGTTTTTTATTTGGAGAATCATTTCAAATTTCCCAGAGAATGTTGTTTATATGGTAGGCTTCTGTCTTAGATCTAAGTAGCTCAAACAAGTCTCTGCCTTTCCAGGAATAAGGACGAGATCAAAATATCTTAAAACATCAATTGTACTTTTTTCCCCTTTGTTCTTACATGCCTTTTTTCTCTTCCTTTATTTGTCTTGGGAAGCAAGATTCTGTTCTACCTGATTTCTAGTTACCTGCAGGTTCTGTACTTTAGCAATCCTGAAGACAGCAGTGGTAGGTTGAGGTTGTGGATTTTGACTGCATATTGCTACCTAAATATGTCTGGGCAATGATAAACACTGTTCCATAAAAGTTGGAATTCTTATTTGAATTTTCCTACTGTTTGTCTCTTTTAAATGTTGGAATTATTTTGTCTTGCTGAGTGTTGGTTGTAAGTTTCTTCAATTTCTGTATTTGGCAGTTCAGGTGTATTAAAAGACCAACTCTCATGTTTCTATGTGAAAAGTCTGGAGTAAAGCTGTTTTAAAGTGGAGAAAATCTTTCTTGTTACTTCAGCTGAATTTGGCCATTGCTCTTTGGAGGAGAAATGAAAATTAATTTCGTGAAAGGGGGCCTTGGCATGGATTTGGTGATTATAGTAAGAAATTACAGAGCTTTGTTGTTCTGTAATATACATTAATGCTGAAAAGTACAGAAACAAGTGAGAAATATTTCTTTTTTTGTATTACTGGAAGAAAGTGGTAGTGTCATCATTGCTAATAGATTTCATTGAAATGAGTTAGTTATTTGTTTTTTTTTTATAGAAGCAACTCAAACTCAGTCTCTGTGTCAAGTAAGCTAATGAATGCATGTTTGGGGCAGAAACAGTCTTTTTCAAGACTAAGAATGGTTTTAAAAAGATTTTGTTAATATTTTTATTTACAGTATTTATTTAAAGGTAAAATAAAATTGTCATAAACTTTGCAACATTAGGACCATTAATCAGAACACTGACCATTTAACAATGAAATTAGGATCCAACATTTCTTGCATGGTTGCAGGATTTAGGAGATGATTTTATTCCATATCCCAGTCATAAGACTAATCTTTCAATGTCTATCTCGACCTTAAAAACAACACCTAGTCTTTTGCCTGTTAAAATCACCCATGAGAGAACTGATTGCAGTAATACTTGTATGAGAATAAAGGCTCACTGTTCTTGGTGCTTGATGTTGCATTGAACCCAGGTGGCTTTAGAAAGTAGTGTCTTTTATCCGCTGGTGTAGTGTTCTTTTTAAAATTGCGTATGAAGAGACACATCACCCACCTCAAATAGGGAGTGAAAGAAAATTTACGGCAAAATGGTGAACTTAATTTTAAAATCCAAATTTTTGTAATTTCTGTGATGCTTGGCTGAACAGAAATGAAGATTTTTTTTTTTTTTTAGTTGCAAATGTCTGTGGTTCAGAGACAGGTGTTTGTTTATAGCAGGAGCCCTACTCCTAGAGAGACTACTGTACGAATCTTTCAGGCAAGTGCTGCATTTTGTAACTCAGTTTTTTTATGAGAGCCTATTGTCAGCTCTGCTTCCAGAAAACTTCGTTACAGCTTTTTTTATTTATAGATGCTGAACCCATCCCAGAAGGTTTTTGTCTATTCCAGTTTCTGTTATTTCTAAAGCACTCTTCAAGCTGCCATCTGGTAGCAGGTACAAAGCTAAAGGTTGCGCTATTCAACTGCTGAAGGGCTTTGAAAGCGCTGCACTGAGTATTCTAGTCCAAGTAGGAATATGCATGTCAATATTCAGTACTGAGTGGCTGCTTATATTTATTTCTGCAGGCTGATATGCATGCAAATGGGTTATCTTGGTTTTTTTTCCTTATACTCTCTTCCCTTTTGCTGAGCACATATTCAAATTTGCTTCTGTTCTCTGAAAGAAGATACATATCTACTACATCTGTCTAGTGCACTCTACTAGAGCTGAAATAGCTTTATGAAACTAAAAAACAGTTCTTGCCAGTAAGCATGAGAATAAAAATTGCCTCCTTTTAACGTTCAGATGAAATTATGTTTTGCTTTGAAGTGGTGATAGCAGAGGTTCAATAAAAAGGTAATAAAAAAGCCTTTGTTCATTTCTGTCGTGGCTAGCATTATGAGTTACTAATAGGATACTAATTGCTATGATCAAGGAAAAAATATATCTGTTTTGTAATTAAAAATTAAATTCAGCAGAGTTGCAGAGCTTGGTCTGTGCTGCACTGTTGGATTTGAAGCCTGGGGAAGCACTGTCAGTTAATTGCTGTTAATAAAGCACTAACCTTCCTTTATTTTATATAACCAAAAAGCTTGTGGACTAGATGCGTTACAGAGTATATTCCTTTTTAAATGTCTATCAAGTTATAACGTCATAAAATTTAAATTAATTCATTATAACGAGGTTGTGCTGCTTACATGCCTGCAGCTGGAACTTCTGTTTGCACGAATGGTGAAGATGTGAAACTAGTATTTTGCCTAAGCTGTGCTTTTACCATGCGTCTCCTATTTCTTGTTTTTATTGAGTTTAGTTTTCTCTACCTGGAGAACTTTGTGTAATGAGGATCACAGGGTGAGAGAACTTCCCATGTTTTGAGAGGACTTTGGTCTTTCATGGCAGTGGTATAGAACTGGAGTTCATTGTGAATTTACAAAGCAACGTGTTAATCTTTCAAGACAGTTTGTCCCTCCAGCAAAAGCCAGCAAGCTTTAAAGGCTTTTGGTTTGAGAGGGTAGGAATGTAGGATTCAGTCTAGATGTTTATTCTCCTCCCTCTTTCCAAAGCAGAAATATTTCACACTTTGTGGTCTTTCGTGAAAGTACAGCCAACAAATGATCTTGCCACAGCAAAGGGTTTTTTATAAGTCTGTTTTGACGGACCACATTGTCTCATGAACAAATGGAGGATGCTCAGCACTGTACTGAATCTGATCACAGGCAAGTTCTTGCGTACAGAAACCATGCGCTTTTACTAGAATGGGATGCAGAAAGTGCATTGGTGCATGAGGATAAAGCCAGTGCTGGCTGTTGTATGGCACAGCAGCAAGAGACACTGATCAGCCTGGGATAAACATCTAAATAACAATAGAATCAAGGTACAATAAGTAAATAGTAATGACTATAGCATGTTGGTGTTTTTTTTTTTCCTAGAAGGCAGTCTCCCTTTCATCAGATTCAACTTCTGCAAGCAGCAGTTCTTGGGGACCAAGCTTTGCTCTTAGTAACAAGCGACGGACACGGATGCTAAACAAAGGTATCCAAGCAGGTGAGCTGTTGAATTACAGACTTCTCTTTTCTGTATTTGCTTTTGCCTTTCATCTCTTTGGAAACCGTTCTCGAAAGTGTTGGCACGTTTCTGGTGATGGGTATGTATATGCAGCATTCTTCAAATTCACTTCAAATGCTTTTAGAGAAAGATGTTATGTTCTAATTAAAATGAGCCATTTTCAATTCCTTTCTTGGTTCTGTCTGGGCTTCCTTGGTCCTTGGAAAATGACTTGGGGGTGTTGGTTGATGAGAAGCTCAACATGACCCAGCAGTGTGCGCTTGCAGCCCAGAAAGACAACTGTATCCTGGGCTGCATCTAAAGCAGTGTGTCCAACAGGTCAAGGGAGGGAATTCTACCCCTCTCCTCTGCTCTGGGGAGCCTCCCCTGCAGGGCTGTGTCCAGCTCTGGAGCCCTCAGCACAGGAGAGACATAGACCTGTTGGAGTGGGGCCAGAGGAGGCCCCAGCAATGCTCCGAGGGCTGGAACAGCTCTGCTGGGAGGACAGGCTGGGAGAGCTGGGGGGGCTCAGCCTGGAGCAGAGAAGGCTCCGGGGAGACCTTCCTGCAGCTGACCAGTACCTGAAGGGGGCCTAAAAGAAAGCTGGAGAGGGACTTTTTAGCAGGGCCTGTAGTGATAGGACAAGGGATAATGGTTTTGAACTGAAAGAGGGTAGATTTAGACTAGACGTATGGAAGAAATTCTTCACTATGAGGGTGGTGAGGCACTGGAACAGGTTGCCCAAAGAAGTTATGGATGCTCCCTCCCCGGAAGTGCTCAAGGTCAGGTTGGATGGGGCTTTGAGCAACCTGGTCTAGTGGAAGGTGTCCCTGCCTATGGCAGGGTAGTTGGAACTAGATGATCTTTAAGGGCCCTTGCACCCCAAACCATTCTATGATTCTATGCTTGAGCAGTAGCAAGTTTTCTACTCATTAAGTTTATTAAACTAAGCTTCTGATCCATTTCAATAGTACAGGTGGACTGTGTTTTTTTTTTTTAATCCTGTTTTCTCCACAAGACATCTGTTACTCACAGAATGTATTTTGTAGGCATATGCTATTTCAAAAGGCAACTGCAGTGTTTCATGTTCTTCTTGGTAATATTTTGGATGTTATATTCTATTTAAAACATAAGCTGATCCTGGACTGGTGCGGTTCTGCATTTTGTTTTTTCTGGTGGCGATTATCAGTTTCTTCATTGCTTTCATTTACACGCCAAGTTGCCGTCATAAGATTGAGTAATGGCTTTGTTTTATTCATCAGACATATAAGTTATTTATTTATCATTGCTTTTTTTTATGTGCAAATGGATTGAATCAGAAAAGTATTTTCATGGCTCATCTTCAAGATCATGTTGTGACTTTAGGATGTTAGTTGACACCTTCCCCTTTATATATTTCTGTTAAATATTTGTGGTGGTGTTTCTGTTAAATATTTGCAGTGCTGTGGGCAAACCAATCTTCTATAGCTAAAACATAGTTTTGGATGGGACACACTGGGTAAACTAACGGCTCCAGAAAAACCTGCAGTTCCACTGTCCAAAATGTAAAGCTGAACGTTGACCTGCCATTGTGTCTTTCAGCAGCAGATTTGACATTGACTCTTCAGAGAGTTAACTCAGGTCCCTAGCAAGGGGCATGGCTGGTTCAAGTGCAATTCCCACCCCCCATATATATGCACATACATTATATATACTTGTTTTGCTTCAGGTACTTGGTTTACACCACTTTAATGTTACTCACATTATCATAAAGTAACAATCCTGAGTCACTGTAAACTCTCCTTAAATTGGAATTGGGAGTATAAGAGATGTTGCCTTTTGAAGGTGGGATAAAGAAAGTGATCCTTCAGCTTCAAAGTAAAAATTGAGGGTCGCCCCCTGAACTATGCATGTCTCATGTGCTGATGTTAAAGGACTTCCAGCTGCTCTGGAATAAGATGTTACTGCTTCATTTTCAACTACAGGAGACTTGGAGATTGTGAGCAGTGCAACTAAGAAAAACACTCGAGATGTTGGTGTGACTTTTCCTACCCCAAGATCTAGCCAGACAAATCAACGGCCACAGGACCCCTGGCATCGTGTTGATGGTATTTTTGGAGAGTCAGATGGTATGGTCACAGATCATCAGGCAGCAGGGAGCAAGGGTAAGCAGGAACAGCCAGGCAATTTTTTTGTGGAGAAAAGGATGAAAAGGAGCAGGCTGCATTTACCACAAGGTCGGTCCAAAATATTTTCTCTGCAGACCATAAAAGCATCTCAACAGCAACCAGCAAAATACGTGAGGAGAGTTAGCTAGGACAGGGAGTGACCTCCGTCACTAGGACAGTCAGTTCTTATTCTGGTTTTCATCAATGAATTTTAAACCAAACGCTATGTCAAGTGAGCTCTCCAGTGCTCTATTACGATGGTGTTTTCAATCAAGCTGTTAGATGCAGCCTATCCAGTGAAGGTAGTAAATAGGAAGCAATGAGTAAGGCAAGGAAAGATGAATGAGATGGGAATAATCTAGATAGTTAATTTTGATTTTCAAGGTATAAAAGGCACTGTTAAGCTCTGAGTAACTGGTCACTGTAAGTTGTACTTACTGTTTCATGTACTGAGATGTCAAAGAACAAGTATTTTTTCAGGAGTACTTGAGGGAAGACTGTGGTACCAGAAGAACTAGACTGGTCTCCCTCTTTTAGCTAGAGTTGCATTTTTGCAGCCTCCTGACTTTTTTTTTTCTTTTGGTAAACTTCCTGTCAGTCTTTACCAATGTCATGATGAAATGTTTAAATATATTTTCCTTAGTCATCGTTCTTGTTGTTATAGGGACAAATCATTCTCTCTCATACTGGTTGAATTTAGAAAATGTAGAATATCTGCTCAGAGTACGAAGTGAGGTATTCAAAACCCATTATGCATGTAAACTGTGAGTAATTTAATTCTTGTATACATATGTAACATTTGGAAGATGTAACGCATTTGATCTTAAAAAATATCTATAAAAAGCTGTAGTTCTTAGGACAGCACAGAGGCTCCTTAAAAATTTGTAATTACTGATAAATAACTATTCTTTCTATAAAGAGAGAACCTTGCAAACTAAGCCATTTTGTGCTTTTTCAAAAGTGTTGTTTGATAAAGACTTGCTGGTTTTCTGACGCTTGGCAAAGGAATTCTTTTGAAACTGCCAAAGGTGTCTGCTACAGAGTCCCACTGTTATTAAACTGAAGTGAGTATTTATTGCAGTGTTAGGCCACTGATTGGATTTAGCTAAGACCTTGGGCATTGTCATGGTTTAACCCCAGCTGGCAGCTGAGCCCCACACAGCCACTTACTCACTCCCCACTGGTTGGACGGGGGAGAGAATCAGAAGGGTAAAAGTGAGAAAACTTGTGGGTTGAGATGAAGACAGTTTAATAGGGAAAACAAAAGCCGTGCACGCGAGCAAAGCCAAACAAGGGATTCACTCACCCCTTCATCATCAGCCGGCAGGTGTTCAGCCATCTCCAGGACAGCAGGGCTCCATCACGTGTGACGGTTACTTGGGAAGACAAACGCCATCACTCCGAATGTCCCCCCGCTTCCTCCTTCTTCCCCCAGCTTTGTATACTGAGTGTGACATCATATGGTCTGGAACATCCCTTTGGTTTCTTGGGGTCAGCTGTCCCGACTGTGTCCCCTCCCGGCTTCTTGTGCACCCCCAGCCTTCTCGCTGGTGGGGTGGGGTGAGGAGCAGAAATGACCTTGACTCTCTGTAAGCACCGCTCAGCAATAACAAAAACATCCCTGTGTTATCAATGCTGTCTTCAGCACAAATCCAAAACACAGCCCCGTGCTAGCTCCTGTGAATAAAATTAACTCTATCCCAGTCAAAAACAGCACAGGCATGAAGGGCCATAGATAGGGGTGGAAAATAGGCATGAGTATTGTTTACAAATCTTTCTTTTCTCTTCTGTGGTCTTTAACAGGGATTTCATGGTTCGTCCAAGCAGAAGATTTGAAATCTGAATCTAGGAAAGAAAACCATTCCAATTCCTTTTCTGGTCCTGGTCCATCTTGGTTTGAACCATTGACCGGTACAAAGCCTTGGAGGGAGCCTCTCCGAGAGAAGAACTGGCAAGAGGAGCAGCACAGCAAAATGATTCAGCCAGCAGTTCCAGAAAAAGATGCTGAGAACAAGTCATTACGACCGTTTGTGAAGCTTACGCTACAGGTAGAAGCACACTCTGAGCTATAAGGCTGCTGGGATCTCAGTTAGGATTTCAGGAGTAATGCTGAATCTTGTAGAAATATTTTTTTTTCCTTTTTTTTTTTTGTTATTTCACCTCTATAATCAGTGGAAGCCAACACATTACAGACTGCTCCTTAAAAAACCAACCAAACAAAAAAACCCAACAAAAACAAACCCCAAGAAAACCAATGAATTTGTCCATCCTGTTTTGTTATGGTAATCTGGGTTTCCACAGTATCCTAATATATTTGAATTGACCTAGTATTTTAGGGCTTAAATAATTTGGCTTCAGGAACTAGAGGGAATGTAGCTGAGGTAGTATCAAGTCATACTTGCTTCCACGGAGAAATAATACTGTGTGATGTACATAGTATGTGATTAAAATGGGCTTTAATTCATACGGTGCAAACAGTGTATGTGTGTGTACATACACACACGTGCATATATGGTGTACACTGAAGATCAGGTGTGATCAGTATAAATATCTGTGGAAAAATACAGATGTAGTGTACAGAAATATTTTTGAAAGAGATTGTCCACAGTAAGTGAAATGTAAATTAGGAAGTGCTAATTAAGGCACACTTCTGAAGTTTCTTTAAATTCAATTGCCTCTGCTCATGTGCTCGGAGACTGCTCTGTGATGGAAATTGAAGTGTGGCAAACAGAGATATCAGGGGATTGCTTTCAAAACTCCATTTCTGATCCAAAATGAAGTGCTAATCTTGATGTGTCCACTGATTTATGGCAAGGGACACTCTAATAAGTTACAGAATCTTCTATGGGCTCAACTTTGTGAAATTTGCTATGCTTTTTTGAGAGGAGGTTTGTGTCCCTTTTGCTAATTATTTTAACATTTTTTCTTTCTGGGCAGTCAGTTTTCTGGTTGTTGACAAATAGTTTGTTAAACAAGGTCTCTGAGGATCCACCCAGCATCAAGGATACAAGATTTTGTCTGTTATACCAAATGCTACTTTGACAGGATTTTTTTCTGTGCTTTGGTGATGGTGTTAGATATTTTGATTATTCCCTTCCAGCTCTAGGGAGACAGTCTGGCCACTTTAGACTTTGTTTTGTGTCATCCCATCTTAGGAGGCTCTTGCAGCGCATCGCCCTGATTTCATCTCCCGCTCTGGAGAGCGTGTGAAGCATCTAAAGCTTGTAATGGAGGAAAGGAGGATACAGAGCGTACTGCAGTCCGAACGTGAAGAGCTATTTAATCCTCCAGAGAAAAGAAAGGGCTACAGAAATGCAAGTCACATGCTGTCTGACAGAGGTACCTTCATGGTTCTGCTCTTTATGTTCTATAGGAATTAATGAATTTTCACATTATACTTAAGGGTGTGTGTAATTTTAATACAAGTATTACAGTTATTTAACATTATTGTCTATAAGAGTCCATAACTTATAAAGGAGTGAGATTGTTGCAGTAGTGTTCTTTGGGAGAAGTAGACTTATTCACTGTTCTCTTATATCAAAATTTTCCATTTAGGTTTTCTGGTTAGAGAAAAGAGAAGAACAATTCCAAAGAGTGAAATGGTTCAAAGATCTAAACGGTAAGGTTAAGAAAACTCTGTTTCAGGGAAATAGGTGACCTGAATAAATGGGTAGGCGAGATGGATGAATTGTATCTGCAGTCAAAGAACTGGCTGTTGGGGGTAACTCAGCTTTTTTAGTACAAGATGTAGATACCTTATCAGAGGAAGAAAGCACCTCTTTAGAAAACCTGAGAAACAAGATAGTTTTGGAAAATTTATTTCTGTGTTCTGCTGCAGTATCTGCAATTCAAGCACTACAGCAAACCATGCAAGTACTGGATCCCAAAAGGAGATGAAATGGTCTAGTGGCCCACACCCTCCATCTGTATGGTTTTAAACACTAACAAACTAGGTAATTGGTGCAGGAAGTGAGGCATCATTTCACCAAATGAAAGTAGCTTTATGTAAGAAATAACTACCCTCAAAGGAACCTTCAAGGTCAGGTTCGACGGTGCTCTGAGCAACCTGCTCAAGTTGAAGATGTTCCTGCTCACAGCAGAAGGGTTGGTCTAGATGGCCTTTAAAGGTCCCTTCCAATCCAAAGATTCTGTGATTCTATGAATGGGGAGGCTTTTACCCTTGAAGAAAACCACCTTATGATAGAATTTACCTTATTTTTGACTCAAGTAATTCATGTATAAAGCACACAGCACACTAACTCTGTATTAAACATTTGGAATAGCTATGCTAGAGAGAGCATGTGAAAGTATAATAAATAATGGAGTTTGCTGCTAGATTCTTAAACGGTAGCAGTTGGGCCAAGAAGAGGTGGTTTGGAAGAGTACCAGTTGAGAAACAACATAAATACTTAAAAGTAAATCAAAGACTCATGAAGTTGTCTCTGATAACTTGTAAAGTTACATAAAGATACAATGATACTGTAAGTTATTTAGAGTAAAAAAAAAAGAAAAAGGTCAAGAGTGTATCTTGCGGCAAGAAATAGTAAAAAAAAAAGAAAAAGGTCAAGAGTGTACCTTGCGGCAATTTTAAGTATTTGGGTGCAAACCGACACACGTTTGCGTCCTTCACTTCTCTTGCCGGTCTGAAGTATTATTTTCCTGCTGGAATTACTACCAAGACAACTGTCAAAGATACCCCTCCTGGCTGGTGGGCTGTATTGATTTGCCATGTTCAAAATGGGGTGTGTTGAAGTACTTTCAGATAATATGAGTTGAACATAGATGTGTTTAAAAATATTTGAAGTGCCAACAGTAATTATGCAAACTCATTACACTGATGTAGGAACGAAACAGTCTGTAAAAGAGTATAACGCAGTGTTGTATCTGTAACAAGTTTTTTTTTTTCTCTTATTTGCTGATTAGCAAATCAGCATGTTAAGAAAGGAGTTATAGTAAGATCTGTCTTGCTTTAAATATTACAGGACTGAAATTTTTGAACGTTGTTCTTTTCCACCTCCTGTAAACCCCAGTGCTTTTGAAGCTGCCTATCTCTTGGCAACCACTGTCATGAAATTCATAAAGCTTTGTGGTCTTAAAGGAAGATTTGGGGAAGGTGGTGTGAACAATACGTTGCCATCCTAGCTCTCAGGTCCCTCCTTTAGATGGTAGCATGTAAAACAGGCTAGAATAGTGCCCTGACTCGGTACTGAGTACCAGTCGCCTTCAGTTCAGAGCATCCCTTCCTGTTTGGCTCTGGTATGGGAGAAGTTCAGCACTGGAGAAGACAAAGCATTCACCTGAACAGGGCAACATGGCTGAATGTTGAAAATATTGAAATTTTGAAAAGTTGCCTAGATAGCTAAATCAGGTTATTCTTGTGATAAAGATATTGCATGGATAAACATGTTACTCGGAATCAGCATATCCTCAAAGCGATGGGGCTATCCGGTACTGAAGATACTGAAGCTAAAACCTAATAAAGGTAATCATACCAGCTGTATGGTCATTTTAAGGTTATAAATATTGCTTTTAGGAGGGTGCTGCTTGCAGGAGGAAGGCATTATGGGATGTGGGAATTTCCGGTATCACAACTGCTATGTATTCCACATTTTCCCTGTATGACACTAGTAAACCCCCAAATAAATGTTTCTGTGATGTGGCTGGCCAGTAGCCTTTAACAGAATGTGAAGATAAAACAGAGGATGTGGGGGTTTTTTTGTATCAATAAGTTCCTTCCTTTCAAGTCACTATTTTTGACTTTTTGTATTTACACTTAAGGATCTATGAGCAGCTGCCAGAGGTGCAAAAGAAGCGAGAGGAAGAAAAGAGAAAAATGGAATACAACTCATACCGTCTGAAAGCACAGCTTTACAAAACAGTAGGTGTTCTGGTCAAGTATTTATACTGGACCATTTTACAATTTTTTTTCCTGAGGTCACAAGCATTATAGTAATATTTTCTAAATGTTAGTTCTGTGGTATTATTTTGCAACTTCTACATGGTTAGGATATACTAGCATTTAATCAGGGTTAAAGCAGTCAGGCTTAGTTTTTTTTCCCCTTTAACTGGGAACAAAAAAAATCCCCCTACCTAACCTGAAATCCTTCCTGTATCTACACATGGTGTATGGGAAAAAAGACAACGAAGCATGGTCCTGATTGAAGTGTACAAAAAAGGTCTTGTGCAGTCTTCAAGGAAGAACAGAGGGGTTGTGGAGCCTATTTAAAGAAGGTATTCCATGGACAGCCTCTTTGAACTGAAGGCTGCTGGTTTTGCTCTCGTGCACCCTCGCTGTAGATGGATTTAGCTTACACCATTCACAGCTAACTTTGCAACCATGGTTAACAATACTTGGAGTCATCATTCTTAGTTTTGCTCCAGTGGAGAACAGGCAGTCCTGGTGGTAATTTGTTAACTTGGAGGGCCCTAGATTTCGCCATTACGCGTTTGTTCAGCTGGTAGTGTGGGCTTACCACACTGGCACTGCTCAGCCTAGGATCTCCTCTGTCTGGCAAGCTGTAGAATAAGCCAGTATCCATAAGCATGGGTGTGACTAACTCTGAACCGCAAACACTTATCCAGCAGTTCAAGAACAGTTTCTGTGCTGGGGCACACAGCAGCAGAGCAAAGGTGGAGTGAGGGCTCCAGGATTTTGATGAGCAGGAGAAGGAGACAGTGGGGCCCGTTTTGCTGGGTTACTCTAGGACTCTGCTGAATCCTCCCTCATTCTGCCATGAAGCAGTGAGATCCCTGCAGGGAGCTGCTTCTGTCCCAGCTAACAGCTGCTGCTAATGCTCTTCCACCCTAGCTGTCCAAGTTGTGTAACATGTACTTTGTGTCTATCTGTTAAATGCAGGTTTGATTAATGACAGAAAGATTGAAAAACCCTGTGCTAGAGACTCATCTGGGTTAAGCATGATATGTAACAAGGAAGAGAGTCTTTTGTCCTTATGCCCTCTCTGTGCACACATTTAATTATCTGTGTTATTTATTATTCTGTTCTATATAATAATATGCTATTATTTCTGTGTTAACAAGCAGTATCAATTTATACACAATGATGTGATAAATGTCCTGATAAAACAGAGGAGGCACATTTGTCCCCTCTGAGAAGCGCATATCCAAAACTGACCAGTGTATCACTTTTTGAGCTGTTATAGGCATTCCTATGCGTAAGCTTTCTCTTAAGACTTAGTAAGAACTAAAAGATGAGAAACAAAAGTTTGCAATGCAAGCGTTGAGGTTCTAACCCGACTTCTAACCTTCTCGCTCTTTCACTAACCCATATACCATAAAACATAGACTTCTGGGGAACTCTGGCAATAGGCAATACAAGCCTATTGGCTTGCATTACGAGCCTCAGTGGTTTAAGGACGTGCATTAAAAATTAAAACTGATTTTTTTTCCCTCTGGATCTTAAGGTTCTACTTCAGTTTTAGCATTGCAACTCTTTCTTGGCTGAGGTGTCCTACCAGAGCTGGAATAATAGGGTTAGTTATTTGTTGGGAACAGCAGTAATTGGATTTTAAAAGTCAGGACTCGTAACACAATGTATTATCCAGAATACCTCCCTAATCTGATTGTGGGTTCTCACCACTAGAATTACTGGAATTTGATGCTGTGCTTTTGCAGGGTATATTCAGGACATATTTTTTCACTAGTCTGAGAGTCTCAGATTCCCGTACAGTCAGGTCTTAAGAGTTAATGAATGCTGGCAGTCCTCGACTTGAAGTAGCGTATTCAGCTGGAAGCAGAGAGGGAATTGGATCGGACGCTTTGTATGTAAGTGGGGTTTTGATTGGAAGAGGGATGGTGATTCATTGCAGTAAATATTGTAATCTTTTTGTCTTCCTTGATGATGCAGAATAGCTGTAGTAGCTGTAAATACAGTGAATAGTTTGTTTAGAATTTGGTTGATGTGTTGCTGAGAGCATCAGTTTCTAAGCGGATCTGATTGTGCATGAAAAAAAGAACCACAGATTTTGTGGAATGACTCCAAAGATGACAGAGTATTAGGAGAAGAAAACGGCTGGTACAAAAGCTAGACTAAAAACACATGTAATCTAGGGTTGTATTATTTAAATGATCTGTAGCGCTGTACCCAAACCGCGGTCTGAATATCTCTCATAGTGACAAGTTTGTGAACTGCTGATGTGGAACAGCAGATCAGTACTCTGGAATAGATCTGACTCTTATTTTAATTGCAGTCACCTAGAGGGGTCTTCTTGTGCCTTATACAAACCCAGGAGGGGACACTTTCTTCCAAGATTGTGTGGCATGTATCCAGCCAAAGCTTGGGAAAGGTGGAGGAGGCAGAGACTCAATTCCCCTGCTCCGGTTTGTGTGGGGGTCAATAGTGGAGTTGGGCATAGTACTTGTGTTGTCTGACCCCCAGGTCAGTGCTTAGCAGTATGACTTGTCCCTACCGAAACCTCTTTGTCCTTCACTTTTTGGATTTTGACAGGCTAGCACTGGACATCTAGGGAAAGGATGTAGTCAGGCCCCAGCCACTCTGGAGTGCAGCTTAGTACGTTAAACTGCTGGTGAAAGTGTGTGCCGAGACATCCTGTTCTGCACTGTCTAAGGCTTACACTTCTATTTTCTTGGCTGACTTTCTGCTGTGCAAATGTTAATACCTAGCAGAGGAGCGCTAATGAAAGAGCTGGCCAGGTGGGGATGTCTAATCTGCAGGCCAGTTTGCTTAGTGAAGGAGAGTCTGAGCACTTATTCTCTCCCAGCACCTGTAGCTGAACACATTGTTGTAATAGTGAAATGTGCTTATACCTTAGATTTATTATATCTCAGCCATGGTGTAATATGGTGCTGGGACACTGGTTCTTCTATTTCTGTCACTGATGCCAGAGGAGTAGACATGTAAAAGTAAAACTAGGTGTACACCTCACTAATAGCGGTACAGGTGGCTCTGAGGATGGTGTTATCTAGCAGTACAGTGTGCATGCCATTTCTACGGGGCGTTGAAGGCTCACAGCTTAGGGCTGATTAAAATTTGGGAAAGGAAGCAATGAATTAAACATGTACACGCAGTCATACCTGTATGTACATGAACATGGACAAATGTTTGCTGAAGTATCCTCACACCAGAATTTAAAGGTATGTTAGGTACAATGGCATATTGATGTAAATTAAGGGCATTTTTAAAAGAAAAATGAACACCAGCTTCTTAGAAATGTATTGTGAGAAAACAAACAAGCAAAAAAGTGTGATCAACGACAGCTACTATGTGGGACATACTGCTCTCTGGAGGCAGCGTGTCGCTCTTCATTAGCTGTAGGGAACCAAAGGTAATGATCTTAAATTAGCATCCAGGTTGAGGCATGAGATGAAACTGAGTTTATTTGGCTCAAAATAGGACCGCAGATGACTGAATAGCTATGAAAAAAATTCTCTTACCTTTTGTAAAGTACAAGTGAAAATACTCATACAGGACGCTGGAGAAATAAGGCTGTCAGTGCTTGTTTTAAGGCATTTGTGTGCTACAGTGGCAGTGTGGGAGGTGAGGAGAGAATGAAGTAGCAGTTCTGTTAGCACTGAGGGAGGATGGCATCCTCGGGAGGAAACAGTATGGGCTCATATAACTGGAAATCGAGATTCCTGTGCTAGAAGGTGACTGAGAGGGTTGCACAGGCATTCTTAATTTTTCGAATCGTTAAATGCTTAACTTTATTAAGATAGCAAAGTTATTTTTATCACAGGATGCACATGGGTCTGGCGGTCATGTTCTGTCCCAGTATCCCTTTGCTTTAGTACTTTTAATTTCAAATAGAGCATAAAATTATACTGGTCAGATAAGGGAATGGTGCATGCCCTTTAATTTTGAAAACTGTGTAGTCGAGACAGATTTCTGATTTGATGGCAGCATAAATCAAAACTCTTTCAACCCCAGTGAATTGAAGTGAAAATGAATTCTATGAGTTTATCAGATAGAAATTCGTTCCATTACTGAAGCTTTTCCATTAGATTTAGTGCGTTTGTCATTTTTGTAAATAGGGAGCATGGGCAAAACCTCCATAAAGGGGATAGCAAAGTTATTAATTTATTTATCTCCCCTTCAAAAAGAAAAAAAATATATTAGCATTCAGGAACACTAATCACTCTTATTTATGGATGGGACATGTCCTTTAGAGCCTATGCAAGATAGGGGCCACAAGGTGTCACTACCCCAAAGGAAAAACCACATGCTTCTAGAGGTGTAACACTGAATTGCACTTTGCTTATTGCTTTACAGTAGGTTTTTTTTTTTTTTAATTTTGTTTTTCATCCCCTTGGCTACGTTTTCCCTCCTGTCAGCAACATGTTAAGGTTTTTTGTTTTGTAGTCACTTCCTGGAAGTGGAGCGAAGAGGGGAGATAGCATCTAATTGCTAGCTGGGCTTGCTTATTAGGTTGCAAAGGGGCCTGTGAGCTGTAAGGACTGTTCAGAGGTTTTCTGGCGTGAGGCGTCTTGAGCCCTTCTGAGGCTTCATGGAAGCACTGGGGACAGATTTCACACTGTGATTCACGTCAGCAGCCTTGCTTCTTTTTACATGTATGTATGTAAGCAGAGTATCTATTCTGTATTGGTGTATACACTATATATACTATGTGTACATACTATATGCACGTGTACTGCGTACTCTGTGTGTGTGTCTATGAAGAGCTGAGCTACGTGTTGCATTCATCTGTGTGGTCTCATCAGGTAATGGCTGTATCACTCCCACTGCTGTTAGTAATATATGAGTTACCCAAAGCTCTTACTTTATCGTACGCTTCTGTAAAGCTACATAATATGTATTCCATGCTTCAGAACACCAGTGATCTGCCGGCTGAGCTAGCGGAATGATGTGGTGTTTCATTATCTGGATTGTCCATCCCTATAAGA